TAATGTGGGGATGGGCAAGGAATTGAACAAAGCTGGGTATGGACACTGCACGAGCACACACTCCTCTCCTGGCTCTGTTGATCTTTTTCACCAGTTCAGCTATTTCAGGAAAGCGGATGTGGGAGACATCCTAAATAAATAAAATCCAGACATTTTATCCTAAATTTGTAGACAAATCAGGTAGGACCATCCACAGTGATAGAAGCTCTTAAAAATTGAAATCAGGGGGATCCCTGGGTGGCGCAGCGGTTTGGCGCCTGCCTTTGGCCCAGGGCGCGATCCTGGAGACCCGGGATCGGATCCCACGTCGGGCTCCCGGTGCATGAGCCTGCTTCTCCCTCTGCCTGTGTCTCTGCCTCTCTCTCTCTCTCTCTCTCTCTCTCTCTATCATAAATAAATAAAAATTAAGAAAAAATTGAAATCAGGAAGAACAGCTTTGGTTGTGAGCTCTTGGAGGCCATTTTTATTTTTTTAATTTTATTTTTAAAGATTTTGTTTATTTGACACGGAGAGAATGCGCACAAGCAGGGGGAACAGCACAGGCAGAGAGAGAAGCAGGCTTTTTGCCGAGCAGGGAGTTCAATATGGGGCTCGATCCCCAGACCCTGGGATCATGACCCAAGCTAAAGGCAGACACTTAATCAATGCAGCCACCCAAACGCCTCTTGGAGGCCATTTTTAAATGAAGTCCTTGAGGATGAGTCTGATGTCTGATTGTGTCACCCTGTTTCCTCACAATTAATAGCAGGAGTTGTTTACAGAGAAGTTAATCCAAAGCAAGTCAGACACTGATATTTCCATAACCAGCAGATTATTTATTAAATTCAAAGGTTGCTGATGTCAGGAAGGAGAACAAATGTGTGATTATGGCAGCCTGTCTCCAAGATGGTCACCATCAGGTCGGTCCTTCGCCCTCTGTCTGTCCATCTGATTCTCCAGTGGGAGGTGGCATCTATTCCTTGCTCCCACATCCCATGGATCTGAGCTGGCCTAGGTGACTCATTGACCCATAAGATGCAGTGGACGTGATGTTGGGGACTTCTGAGGTGAGGTCCTAAGAAGTCCTGCAGCTCCATCTTGGCTCTCGGGATGTTCTGGGCCCTGAGACCCCTGTGCCTGGAGAGGGTGACACTAGCCAGTGCCCAGCTGTTCTGGCCAGCCCAGCCCAGGCACAAGGTGTGAAGGTCTTAGATATTCTGGGCCTGGAAGATGTCAAACAAGCTATTCAAGCCACACCAGCAGAAGTCCCAGACACAGAGGAACAGAGTTGAGCCAACCTCAATGTGCTCTAGATGTTTCTTCATGCCTTTACATTTGTAAGCAGCAGTAGATGCCTGCAAACACTGCTTTAAACAACACGTGCTGAAAATAGAGCAGCTTGTTAACAGGGACCAGAACTAGGCTGACACGTGAACTGGAGAACATTGCAAAATTTGGTGGTTTCTTTTTCCTGTTGCCTATAGTGCTATGATTCATACCTCCACTGTACACCTCCCTAGCTGCGCTTAGGAGACAGTGTAGCACTCTACTTAAGAACTTGGGTTTTAGAGTTAAGAAAGTCTCTTATTTGAGTTCCAGTGGCCTCAAGCGAATGGCTTAGCGTAGACCTCAGTTTCCTCATCTGTTAAAAGGGAATGACATGAATAATACAGATTAAGTTCATTAATGCATGTGAAGTATTCAGTGCCTGTCATATATTCACATTTTGCGGTCAGAATGGTGGTTGGTGGTGATCCCCAGAGCACAAGAGCCTTTTTTTTTTTTAAAGATTTTATTCATTTATTCATTAAAGACACAGAGAGAAAGGGAGAGAAGCAGGCTCCAGGCAGGGAGCACGATGTGGGACTTGATCCTGAGACTGTGGATCACGTTCTGAGCCCGGGGCAGGTGCTCAACCACTGAGCCACCCATGTCCCAAGGGCCTGATCTTATCTTTAAATTCAGTGTACATTTCAGTGCCTGGGCCATAGTGATTAATAAAGGCTGTTACATGAATGACAGAATGAAACCCTACGTTATAAACTTTAAGATCGACATTTTAACACGAAGGATGACTTTGCCTGTACATTATTTGGAGCTAAGCACTTTAGGTCAATGGAGTATGTCATTTCTACCATGAAGTCCTGTAAGAATCGGATGTCAGTGGGAAAATAAGCCAGTTCAATTGCTTTTGGCATCTTAAGGCCTCCAAAGGGCTGGACGGCACCGTCACGAGCATCCCTTGCAACCTGTCTCATGGTGCATGTGTAAAGCGAGTGGCTTGCTCCAGGCCACCCACCTGCTGTGGGGACAAGAGCAGAACTCTTCCCTTATGAAGGTGATGGCGTCCTTACCCTCTTCTTGCACACCCCAGGGCCATTCGGTGTGGTCAGGACTGATCACTAATCTCTTCTACGAAGGGATCGCGCACCTCTTGGAGAGGCAATGGGAGAACCCGCCGGGGAGGCAGGAAGCACCTGTAGGCCACGCAGGCTGTATGCGGGGACCCTTCCTTTACGCATCTGTCCCACCTGTCATCATAACTCTTGCACTGGAACAGTGACTCATCATGAAAAAGCCCCTTTTTTGCATTGCTGGGATGCAGTTTAAGTTTTCTGTAATTAATGTTGGGGTTTCATCCTAGTTCTTAGGCCTTTCTTCGATTTCCCTGCTTTAAGGCATCAATGTCTTTTCCCAGCTTAATTTACTGTGTCTGGTGAGAGCTGGTAGGACCTTCTTTGGTTTACCAAACCTGACGACACAAAGTAGCAGTCAAGTCTGTTATGTAGTTTTAATTGGTTTAAATTTCTATAGATAACAAGTAAGCAAACTGAAGCCTTCTTCAGTTCCTTTTTTTTCTTGCCTTTGAATTCAGAGCTGCTGTTCGCAGATCCAGTGTGGCACTTTTTAAATTTAGTCAAAAATAGAGACTAAAGGAAAATCGTGCACTGTTTTCACCTCTTTCTGGCAGTTTCTGTGCATCATGTAAGATGTTGCCAGCCAAAGAGCATTGTCCACATGGTATGGAAAAGAAAATAACATACTTGTGTAGGTTGGAAAAATTCAAGTCAATTCTTTACTAGGATATAAGGGTAAGGACTAAGACAGCTGGTAAGACCAGCTGAATGATTCCCCTACCTCTTGTCCCTCTTCCCAATCAGGATTGGTTTCTATTTGTTTTAAGATTTCATTTAGAACAAACAAGATTCAATTAATGACATTTTTCTAAGTAAAAAAACTACAGACAAGGGCTTGGGGGATGAGCGGGGAAACCCAGATGTGCCACCTCTGAAACTCACAGCTGTGCTTCGGATCTTGAAATAAATCTGTTTCCAAGAATGGAGGTTTCTGTTGTTCACATTTAAATCTTGAATCACACTAAAACGTCAATGACGTTTTTATGTTCCAAGTTCAAATCCTTATTTAGGATAGTTGAACCTCATATCCAGCACTCACAAGACTCCTGAGACATTCTTTTCGATCCTGACAGGTTAACAGAGATCTATTGAGAGGTAGGGAGAAGGCAAAGGGAAACTTCATTGAGCAACAACAGAAGATATTTATATGAATGTTCTGAAGCCAACTGACCATATTCTATACGAAGAAAATTTTTTTTCTATGAGAAAAAATGTGGGGTTTTAATAGTTTAATGAATAATCCAGCATTACTAGGTAATGCATAAGAGAAATTAATCCAGACCAAAAACACTTGGCCACTATGAAAATCAAGATTTGATGTAATAGTAACAATAAATGTAATACTAACAATAAATTACAAGGTTGGTAGATTTTTCAGGATCCAATCATAAGGTTAAAACTGATGACGTTCTAAGTGGTGAGAAAAATGGCATGGAGAGAAATATACAGGACCCATAACACAACAGTACCTCCTTTTGAACTGGTAGAGTCTAAAGCTCATTTTCCTTGCCTAAAAAGTTTTTTTTATGGTTTCTACTACAGAAATCGCTTCTAATTATTTCCTTGCATATATTCACGTATATGCTGTTACATAGTATTAGTAAATGTCAAGGCTCATCTAACCAACCAAAGTGGTAATACTGCTGATCTTACAGTTCTGATGTCCAATTTCCCCACAACATTAATATTCAAGGTCAGTCAAGGTCATGTAGGGTGGCTGTGCTCCCAGAAGCAAAATTTGAGATCCAATTTCTCATTTGCCACAATCTGCATCATCCAGACATTTTATCCAAGAATCTGATGCTTCTAAGCTGGAACATTTTAGCTCATATACTTTGAGTTGGCTGCTAGGAAGTTAGGGCCAGATTTGTAGCCTATTTCTAACATTCACTTTGTGTGCTAAATTCACTCCTGGTTTGATGTTTTTCACTTACACCTTACCTTGATTGGCTTACTTAATCCATGTAAATTTTATTGTGTGTGGCTCTGTAAGCCCTCTCTTCAAAACTTTTTGAGAAGGCAGAGAATAAAACCAACTTTAGATACGTTTCATATATCACAGGTTGATTCAGGTCAAAGACCTGAGATTTTAAAAGTTGTATGAGGGATAGATACCTGGTTAGCTTAGCTGGTAGAGCACGTATGACTCTAGGTCTAATGAATCTGAGCCCCATGATGGGTACAGAGATTACTTAAAACGTGGTAACAGGGTGAAATAGGTTAAGGGGATTAAGAGGTACAAACTTCCACTTATAAAAAAGTCACGAGGATATAATGTACAGCGTGGGAAATATAGCCAATAATATTGTAATAACTTTGTATAATGATAGATGACAACTAGACTTACTGTGGGGATTTTATAAGGTTAAAAAAAAGGTAACATTTCTTATCAAATCCATTTGTCCCTAGGGCAAAATTCAACTTATAAAAATCTGAATTTGGAGAGTTAAAAGTAAATGAAAGATCGATTCAAGCTGCCCCAAATGAATGTCCCCAGAAGCTTCTAAAATTTCAGAAAGGTCCATCAAAAACTGAGTCATTCAGATTTAAAAAAAGAATCTGACTGGAAAGATGCTTGGTCATGGCACATTATGGCATACAGGATAACCAGAGGTGGATTCTTTATTTCACAAGTTTCAAGATACAGTACAAAACGAATCTGTACATCTCTCTATTAACAGGACTTGTTTACACAATTATATTACACTTCACCAGCCTTTATACCGTATTTAATTAAATACAAAATAAATTTACAAAAAAGTCTACCATGGTGTTCCTTCCAATGCCAGCTTATAGTCTTTTAAACTTCTCCTAAATATTGATAGTGGTTATACCTCGATCATATTTGACATTATGATTTCTTTTCTTAAATCAAAGAGACTAGTGTCAGCTTGTCTGTCATTCCAGACAGGAAAAACAGTGCATGCGAGATGACTTCCTGCACATAATCAGGACATCCTCATGCACACAAAATCAGAGTTTTGCTTCTGCAAATAGTCACTTTAAAATACAAATCATTTTTACTCAGGATATTTTAGACTTTCTTGAAATACCAAGTGAAAGGAGAAATTTAGCATCAAGAACTACTATACCTGAAAAATCAGGTAGTGTCTTAGATAATGTGGTGTTAAAAAATTTTGTATTTTCACTTATGTTGGAGAGCAATGACTGAGGATGATTTTTTCATGAAAACAGAAGTTTCTTTTGCCTTATTGCTTGCATTCTTCTGGTCACAATATTGTGCAACGCATATTATATTCACTTCCAGAACAAATACTAGCTGTCGTCAGGGCAAAAGAAGCCCACACTGCTCTTCTTGGCAGGTATAGGGGCTGTTTATCTGACACTGTTCTGAAATGTGCATGTGAAACGTTAGTCCAAACCTCTGTAAAGGAAGTTTTTTTGCAGATGGAACTAGTCAGTAATACATATACTACACACATGAAGAGTTGTGGTCTCCACTCACAGGCTTGCATGCATACTTCCAAAACACTGGTTTGAAGAACAAATATGAGAACCAAAGAAAGGAGGGAAAAACGAAGCAAAAGAAAAAAAAAATCCTATACAAAATACTTAAGTTTCCTGGAGGCAACAGCAGCTCCTTAATTAAATAAAGCATCAGATCGTGGCCAGATCACCACAGAAGTTTCGAAAACTTCTCAATGGTACAGAGCTAGCTCAGCTTAGCAGTAAAACTTCCACAAATTAATTAACCTTATATGCACAAGGTAAATCCTCAAGCGTACTACAGTAAATGATTCAAAGTAAATCTCATTTAAGTGTTAAAATAAGGAAGTTCGGAAAAAAGGCTTTTCCTTTTTCTGTGCCATTGAATATTAACCAAAAATAAGATAAGCCTTATTAAGAAAACAAAAACTTCAAACACAGAAAGAAAACAAAACAAAACAAAATCCCAAACACCAATGCTACCTTTATAACATAAAACAGAAGCAAAGGGATGGTCTCAAGACTGAAATAGTTGACTAACCACAAACCGAACGCAGAGGAGAATATAAGCTAAGTACTACTGTCCTCACCTTCGAAGGCAGGAAGACAGGCTAGAGGGGTCAGGAGACAGGCTACCACGGAGAAAGAGAAACTGCACTCAATCTGCTAACTCTAAATTCTAACATTAAAACTCCTGAATCCCGGAGTTAATTTAATGTCATTGACATTAACTAGCTTTAGTTACTGTCATTTGATTCAAATGGATGCCATTTGATTAGGTAAGTATTGAGCATTATTTTAGGAGAAACACCAAACCCAGTTCCTACTTGCCTAGGTATTATGTCCCATGAACAGAAAACGAGGAGGAAGCAAGGTATTTGTAAATATACTGTTCAAATTTCCAGGAGCAAGTGACCCGGGGTTGGGGGGGGTCAAGCAGGAAGTGGAAACAAGCCACAAAGAGGCTACTTGGAATATCAGTAATAAAAAGGACACGGCAAGTAGTGGTAAACGAACAGGGAGTTTGTTATTGCATGAAGAGCACGATGGCGCTTTCCCATCTGGCTTCAGGTAGTGCACACTGCTTTAGGAAATGTCTTTTCAAAGCACGAGTGGAGGGAAGTAAAGCTAGAGATTAAAAAAAATCAGGTGGATGGCTAGAGGGGGAGAAAGGGAAGTTCAGTCATCTTGGAGGGTCTTAACACATTTAAATACATTAAAACGGTTCCTTGGAAATGAAATGTTGGCGCTCCTGTGAACTATCCTCATCTGTGAGGGGTGGTGGGGAAAGGTCAACTGCACTCGAATCTCAGGGTAAGAGGTCAAAGCTGTCTAATTAAGAGCTGTCCAAAACAACATGATGCTCTCAAGGCTCAGACTTGCTACCTCTCAGATAGGCTTTTACACACATGGTTCTGTGGCCACCTTTTCAAATTTGGAAGCAATTATGCGGGAGTCAAGTTTGAGTACCAGGTTTCTCGTAATCCTCCAAAACACACACAGAAAGCCTATGACTTCACATTCAAAGCCTTCATGTTCATCACAGACTAATTAACTCTAGTTCTAAATACAATGCCGACTTCAAAAACCAAAGTCTTGCGACTCTACAGGTAATACACTCTTCAAGTTTTCTGGCAGGTGAAGGATTATGGAGCAAGAGTAGAAAGGTTGTTATAAACAGGTTGAGGTCAGGAGGCATAGAAAGCCTGCTCAGATACGGACGTAGTCTCAGACTAGATGTAGGCTGGTGAATGCCACCATCTGACAATAAAAAGAAATACAAATTCGGCTTAAGTTTAAATTTCTTCCTTTGTATGATGTGTGATGTCCTCGCTTTTCTTTGTTGTTGCTGTGCTCCACACTATTTAACCAGGCAATTCTCAAGGGGCACAGCCTTGATCTTCCTCAAGTTACCAGTTGGAAGCTGGTGAATATGACAGCTAAGGACGTGGCTGACTTTCTACCGGAATAGAAAACTGCTGAAGTAAAAATCGCCCTGAACAGTATGAACAGGCTTTGGCTTTCCTCAACCACTGAGTTTAATGCATCTTAGAGTCTCTGAGCTTGTTTTATACTGGGAGTCACTCGATGACACATCCTGGCAATATCATTTCAGATCTAAAGAATTCAGGGGGGTGAGATCTGTTCTTTTGTGGTAGAAATACAAAGTGAAGTGAGATCCTGGGAACAAATGCTTCATCTTTGGGGGAAAAGTGTCTGTCATCTTGGTACCCTACCTAGACTTCTTTACCACTGTTTTCTAGTTTCTCCCACTTAGTCCATCCTCTGGCTTCTGGATCAAGGCTCTGTATACTCAAAACAAACAAGCAAATTACATTGAGTAAGTGGGGGCAATGTCACATGTTAGCTCAAGGAGTCAGTTCACAATGTTTTATATATTCCATTCCAGAGAAGTGAGGTTCATATAAAACTCTTTAACACGCCTTTCAGTCTGTGAAGGAGAGAAGTATGGGATAAAGTGTGACAATCACCAATAAGAAGAAACCTCCCCGCCTTCCCTTTTAAAATAACAAATATGTTCAATATGTATACTTGCATGTGGATTGGTAAAAGTTTCTCAGTTATTGCAGTTCTGAAACACTTTGCTTTTTTTTTTTTACTTAAAAGGCAAGTTCTATTTTCAGACTTTCAAACATGTTAAGGTTAAACTTGCAACTAACTGGTTTTTCCTTTTTACAGTGATGAGTTTTTAGTGTTGATGCACAAGACCTTAGAGGTGGTTGATAGAAGAACTTATGCACATTGAGAGAATGACTGAAAAGGACCCGAGAGAGACAGCTGGGTGCAGCAGACTTTTGAGTGTCTCACATGTTTCCAGAAAAAAAAAAGGGGACGGGAGAGGAAGCCATTGAGAGTTGTTATTCCACACGGCACTGAAACAAACATTCAACTCAGTGTAGGTAAGAGTTACTTATCCCTGAAAATAAAGGCATCAGATTCTAAGCAGCTTTAGGAATTCAATGCTTCTTGTGCCTCTTCCAGGAGGTGACCGCTGATCCGAAGTTCTAAATCAAATGCAAGTGTTCTCAGCAGACAATATCCTTGGTTGTCACTGATCAAGGCTGGACATGGTGGCTGTTACTGGGGTGGCTGCTGCTCCGGTGGCCCCTCCTGCTGTGGCGGCCCTGGCCGTGGTCCTGGAGGCCTGGGGAGAGGGATGTCCTGGTGCTGCCTCTGCCTGTAAGCTATAACTGTTCCCAAGAGCAACGCGATGATGGTCATGAGGTAAAGGTCCCACTCAGGTCCCAAAAGCTGGTCCATGTCAAGCTGGGTGAACAGATCTCGAATCTTAATGAGAATAAGAATAAAAAACACTGTGATCACTAAAATGTCAGGGAAGGAACTAGGAAAAAAGTAACATCACAAATTATACATGAATACAGAACTTATTAAAGTAATTGGTTTTAGGAACATTTTGCAATGTGATTAAACAAAAAAGCTTTAAAAAGCCTTCAGGAACTTTTATAATAATATGCTTCAGGAACTGAGTTATTGTCATAGTAGGTGCTACAAAGTGTCTGACAGGGTTCCTTTCCATCAGTAGTCCAATCTACTCATTTTCTACCATTTCTCACAGAAAATACTTGCACGGGATACTAGACAGTGGAGAGCCGAGGGGGGACAACAATCAGTACCTTGGCCGCCTGTTACCTGTCTGCTCTGACAGCACACCAGCTGAAGAGTCCTGTTCTGATGACAGCAAAGCACTTCACTTCTCTCATGTAACTGGAGATGGCAGGAATTCCAACGTTTAAGAGCTGCATGACTAATGCTTTTTAAATAGGATTTCACTAAATATTTAACGTCTGAATTTAAACTCAAAAGATAGTTATGTTCTTAGTCTAGGAGACTTCATTTTAGTGTCACTTAAGCCATTTCTGGTATCTGTGGACTGCTACCTACCTCCAAAGGAAATAAACATAGGATATAATCCTTTATATTTAAGTAAAGTTATATTTAAAAGGTCCCCATAAGGGCACCTGGATGGCTCAGGCGGTAAAACATCTGCTTTCGGCTCAGGTCATGATCCTGGAGTCCTGGGATCAAGTCCCATGTCTGGCTTCCTGCTAAGTGGGGAGTGTGTTTCTTCCTTTGCCCTTCCCCTGCTCATGCTCTCTCTCTCTCTCAAAAAAAAAAAAAAAAAAAAAAAAAAAAAACAACTTAAAAAAAAAAATAAAAGGTCCCCATAATATATATTTGCAGGTGCAGGTGCTAAATTTTTTGGGGAAAAGATTATAAGAAATTATTAACTGTGTTTCCTGGGGTGGGACCTGTGATAGGAGATTCGGTGTTTTCTGTACCGTCTGACTTTCTCACCATCAATACTTATTTATTATTCTCTTTTTTATACTTCTGTATTAAAAAAAAAAAAAACAAGACAATGCACTTAGTATGGCATATCGCATGACCCAATCCTAGATCATTAGCAGTTTCTTAGTCCTACAAACTGTGAGAGACAAGGGACTGAAACAACCATGAGAGAAAGTGAGCGAGAGGGGGAGAGAGAGAGAGAGAGAGGGCGAGCACAGGCTGCCACACTGTTGTTAGCTTTTCAGTTAAAGGAACAATGATTGTTTCCATTAGTGGAGGGTACAGCACTCGGCTCATGCTATCAAGTGATTACAAATTTAAATTTACCATTACAAATGTATAAGCACTTGGGAGGGTGGAGCCCCACACCTCCAGTCCTCTGGGGTGCCATGCATGGAGGACCTCAGGTAGTGCAGGACAGAGTTGCAAAAAGGAGCACTATGGATCCCAATTATATCTCTATCGCACAGGATGAAAAGCCTGTTCTGGAACCTAATGCTGAAATGGTGTATCAACCTATCCTGAACAATGATAACAAGTAGTTGAAATATCATCTTGTTCTGGTCTGGAGTGAATTAAAGTTAAATAGCCCTTGTTTCTGCAGACATTTTAGGACTTTCAGAGTTAAATCCCATACCGGTCAATCCATTATAAGGCAGTATAGGTAAACCAAATGTAAAACTGGAGACCCCACGGGCACTTACCTGTAAATACGGATAACTAAGCTCAGTAGTTTTGAAAGGGATGGGGAACCCACCTCTTATCCGGGTTCTAACATTAGCTATTTAAGTAGTTCAAGGTATTTGTACAGAAGAAAATTCTGGTGCTGTTTTAAACAAGTTTCACACTATCAGAAGAATTTGAAGTCCAACAGCCTGGGCAGGTTTTCAGGTTCTACTTCTTTCCCTTTTTAAAAATTCTCTTTTTAAGGGACTGGTCTCAGTCACTGGAGGCAGTCATCTGATTTATTGTTTACTGAATTTAGTTAGCTACTGTTTCAATTGCCAAGGGTTAGTCCCATTTTCTCTAGTCCAGAAGACACATGCGTCAATGAAAACTGCTTTAGCACCTGGAACCTACCTCAAAACATACTGCTCTATGGCTACATTCACCCCACACTTGATGCAGTCCCCTGGTAATTCACTTGGGGGAAGAAGGAAAAGGACCAGACACTTGCAGGACATTCCTCCCCTCTCCCTGAACTTTTAAAATACAAACGTCTAGACTGAGCAGCTTATATCATTTATATTTTAATTAAGAGGCATGGAGGAGTGCCTAGATGGCTCAGTCAGTTAAGTAGCCAACTCAGTTTCAGCTCAGGTCATGATCTCAGGGTCCTGGGATTGAGCCCCACATCAGGCTCCTCACTCAGTGGGAGCTCTGCTTGAGGATTATCTCTCCCTCTCCCTCTCCCCCTCATGCCATTCATGTATGCTCTATGGCCCTCTAAAATAAAAAGATAAATCTTTAAAAAAAAAAAAAAAAGGGCATGGAACACTTACGTTTGTTTCCCGTATGTACTGCAAGAAATATACCACACCCAGTTTGCATAGTGCTAGGAAGACTGGTACTTGGGCGTCTGGGCTGGCTTCAGCTGCCATGTCATAAAAACGTTTTGCAAGGTGAATATCCTATAATATAGGTAATAAACCAAAATTCATCTTTTGTTAAAGTAAAAATAATATTAATTTAGTTTATATATTCAGTTATCAATTTATGTATTTAGAACATTTATTTCACCTTTCAAGTTTTCATTTTACCTAATGGAAAAACTCAACCTATAATTGGGTAATATTTCTTTAATTATCTAACTGCTTAATTTTGAAAAATTTAGCTGAAAAGTATTAAAGTTTAACTCATGTTCCTCCTGTCTGACACCCTCTTTGCTGCATACAGCTACCTACCTTATGTATAACAGGTTTATCTGAAGATTCCCGGGGTGACCTATAAGTCTCAAGTTAATTTTTCCTACTTAAAATTTCAGTCACTATAAGTGATTTCTGGTTTCAGTTTGGAGCAGTGATCTTTCAAACTTGGTAACATGCTCACAATTTTTCAAAGGGTACTTGCATGGAGAGTGTTAAGGAACTTGCATTCTGCATTTCCCTGCCTTAGACATATTTCTGTAAAAGGTGAAACAAGTCATATGGATTCTGGCTTAGACTAGAGTGTTCTGCATACACATCAATGCAGAATGGCACAGGACATTGTGAAATTTTCATTTTACAACCTCACTTTTTCCATGCCCTGACTATTGTCAAAGAAGACCAAACTCCAAGGAAAGAATTCCAAGAAACATGGGAAAGAAAGTAAACATTAAGAACTTTCCCAACATAGTTCAATATAAGCAGTTACTTCCAACGATTCCCTAAACTGTCACTAGAGTGTGTCATTACTTAAAAAGAAGGATTTCTTCTGTTACTAACAATAACAGTATAGTCTGGTTTTTCAAAAAATGTAACAAGCTTTTCTTTTTTTGGACTATCACATTTTTTAAGATCATGGATCAAACTTTATGTGATAACATCAACTTTTGTGTAAGTGATTTAACAGGGTAACTAAATCTTATCAATTACATCCCAAATTATTTATTCTATATAAACAATAATCATTTAATCCTTAATATTCTTTTAGCTGTACTAGATGCTAGACTGAGTAGTTTTCAGTAGTATGAATGCTTATTGAAAAAATGGGAAAAAATAGGAAAAGGAGATCATAATGTTGTAAAAACTAATGGAATCATTCTGATTTTTATACATGATTAATTATTCTTTAAAGTTGCATTCCAGAGTTCCCTACTCGCATTCTTATAAAAGAAATACTGTGCTTTTTATCATTGTCATCTAGTCAAGAATTTATATAAGCTATACATATTACAAATTAAATTATGAGAATGCACACTAATTTTTTGGCTTCTGATCTATTATAAAAACACACTGTTAAGAGTTCTATTACTTTAATTTTGATTGCTTTCCGTAAATTATTATGAAGTGTATTCCATAAAAACCATACATATGTGCAATCTTTATATTAGTCATCAAACACATTAATTTTATTGGAATTAAAAAAAACGAAGTCAGACTTGCTGACAGAAGCGAAATCTGATCTGACTGACTGGTCTGACAATTAAGAGGGGCTTTGTTCAGTAACTCAATAATATGGTAGAGATCACCTACAAGCTGAATGCACTTTGCCTGCAGTTCCAGAGTCCTGATAAAACTACATTCAAGTATCTAATATTAATATAAGTGTAAAATATAAAACTATACATACTGGAATTAAAAACATTAATATGCAAATGTGGTGAAACAAAAGGCACTTGGACACTAGCACTAGTGCATTAGCAAAATGAAAATGAACAACTTGCCCTTAAGTACATTAGGTCAATAGAGTGTCTCTAAGTGACAGAGTTATAACAGAATCAGTTATTTGATCAACCTTGGTCAAGTCTTCGGCACTCCACCCAGAAACTGAGAAAGTGAACGACTCCAGTAACTAGGGGATGAATACACCTTTTGCAACCCTCTAGTTTCAAATTCTTTACTTTCAATAAGATTGAAGGGGGACTTAACAAACTGTCAATGATAGATCATTGAAAATAATGTGAATCACTCTGATTTGGGGCATATGTTATAGAATAAATGTTTGTGTCTCCCTAAATTTTTAGGTGGAAATTCTACTCCCTCAGGTGATGGCTGGGATTAGAAGGTGAGGTCTCTGAGAGTTACCACCATTAGATGAGGTTATTAGGGCAGAGCTCTCATGAATGGAATCAGCATCCTTAAGAGTCTTTAAGTGCTTGCTGCTTCCTTCTTGCTCTTTCCTTAGGTAAGGACAAAAGCTAGAAGAGAGCTGTCTCTGGCCCAGGAAGCAGGGTCTCACCAGACACCAAATCCACAGCCACCCTGCACTTCAACTTCTCAGCCTCTAGGACTCTGAGAAATTGTGTTGTTTAAGCCACCTAATCTACGGTATTCTGTTATTGCAGCCCAAAAGAAGACAGCACATAATCGTAAAGCAGTTTAAGGAATTAAGCGAACTTGCTATAGGAAGATTCCTCCCATTCCATAAATTTGTTTATGTGAACAAGATTCCAGTCATACATTTATAAAAATGATACATGAAATTAATGCCTAATCTACTCAGTGATTCTTAAACTGATTTTTAGAAGATGCTCCATTCATCTCATTAAAAGATTTGTTTTCAATAACTACCACAGAAAGTAAAATTTTAGTGAAATTTATAGTATTCTGTTGATTCATTCAATACTGTATTGATAATTAACCAACTTATGACTAATAATATCTCATGAATTTTTCTTACCACTTAGAGCATATAGGAAATAAAATTTAAAGTTTAACATACTTTTTTTTTTTTTTAACATACTTTGTTTCACATAAGTATGATCCAGTGATCAGTAAAGGAGCTCAGCATTAAAAACATTGCATTAGTAGTATGCAATGCTAGGGGAATAATGGACTGAAAATATAAACTCAGGAAGAAAAAAATAGACCATTTTAATGAGCTTGCTGAGTATTTAAAAAAATGAAGGTATCAAAATTTTGTTATTTAGAGTAATTTAGTCATTTTATTTTAAAAAATACTGGTGTGGGCAGCCCGGGTGGCTCAGTGGTTTAGCGTCGCCTTCAGCCCAGGGTGTGATCCTTGAGACCCAGGATTGAATCCCACGTCGGGCTCCCTGCATGGAGCCTGTGTCTGCCTGTGTCTCTGCCTCTCTCTCTCTCCTTTTGTGTTTCTCATGAATAAATAAATAAATTCTTAAAAAAAAACAAAACAAAACTACTGGTGCTTAGAATAGCTAGAATTTATATCCTGTGGCGCTTACAATGAAAAGTTTTTAATGTCAAATTAAAAAGCGCAGCTTTTAAACACAGTTTTTCAAAATTCCCTTAAGGGTATACAGGCAAAAACTTAAGGCCATGGGGTCTAAAGAAAGTTAGAATTCCTTAAGAAGGTGTAGACTTAGAAATACGTTTATCAATGCAAACATCTTAATTTATTTCTCAATAATTTAGAAACAACAGAATTTGGCTGGAGATGGACAGTTTTTCAAACAAGGAGTTCCATTTAAATGAATCTGGTTTTGGCTTACTATCCTAAATATAGCTAGCTGTGTGCTTTTGACAGCAACAGGCATGTGTCCAATGACAAGAGAGATGTAAGTAAGGATCAGCTTCTGAAAAATTACAAAACTGTCTCATTACTTAGTACTTAACATCTGAGCACATTCCAAAGAAAGCCTATATTCTAATAAAAATGTAGATGATTCCCCCAAATCACAATTATATCATTCAGACATTTATTTTGAAGCCCCGCTCACCTGTTTAATGCCTAGTCCTTTCTCATGCATATATCCCAGATTAAACATAGCTTGTGCACTGTGTTGCTGCTCAGATGCTAGGCGATAATGAATAAATGCAGTCTCGTAGTCTACGTCAGTGCCAAAGCCATAGAAATGGTAGTCTCCAAGCTTAATTCTAGCCACGGTATAGCCTTAAACAAAAATTAAATGCAAAACTGCCAATAAATGAAGGGTGTTTAAAACAGACCAAACTACTATTATTTCTCCTCCTGTTAACATGCATACATAAAACAGAATTCTAATTTGTAGTACATAAACTTTACAACAAATCCTTCAGCCAAGCTATAAATTCAATAAAGGTTTAAACTAGAGGTGTTGCTCTTCTGAAGAAGGCTTTGTAATAGGGAAGGGTAAAACAAAGTAGGTGGTAATCCCTATTTCATGATAATACTCTTCAAGTGAACATATTCTAGTCTGTCATGCCATTTACATTGTGAAGTGGTTCAACTGGACCACTGTTTGGGTTTGAAGAAGGGACAGCCAAGCAATGTTGAAAGGAGTATGTGAGAAAGGTTAAAATCTTTTGGGGTTTTAGGCTAGTATTTTGTTATACGTTCTATTCAATTCTAATTTTATACAGAATACTGGTCTCAAGCTAAAAACCAAAGAATAAGCCATAACATGGTATCAATGTCCAGTACAAAGACCTGGCAATTCAATTCAGAAACCCAGGGACTGGAACTTCTGTTTTAAGAATAAATCAGTCCCGGGCAGCCCTGGTGGCGCAGTGGTTTAGCGCCGCCTGCAGCCTGGGATGTGATCCTGGAGACCCGGGATCAAGTCCCACATCGGGCTCCCTGCATGGAGCCTGCTTCTCCCTCTGCCTGTGTCTCTGCCTCTCTGCCTGCCTCTCTCTCTCTCTCTGCCTCTGAATAAAAAAGAATAAATCAGTCCTGATGCAAACAAGTTAAGCAACAGTTGGTCTGTCTGCTTAATTTTAAGTTGATGAATGACATTATTTAAATTTTTTGGAGATAAGAAAACAAAATGGAAACAATAAAGAAAGGTCCATGAGTGGAACTCTTCTCTACAATGCAGTGGCCACTCACCCTGCGAGGCAGCCCTGTTCCAATGCAGCAAAGCTCTAGGGTAAGTCTCGTTCTCCCCCACGATGGTTGCTTCCCCTATGAGGGAGATGAAGTAAATACGTATCAGGCAATTAAGGACAGGCACTAGACTTTTAGGCTTCATTTATTAGTCAGGGTGGCTATGCAGAACATAATTTAAACAAGAATTGTGATATGATAAAAGTTAAATGAAAAAAGCATTGTATTGACGTTAAACTAGTATGAGAATAAAATACTGAGTTTAAAGGAATCACTGCCTCCATCCAGGACAACACTACTTGCTGCAAAATGCTGTATCCACAGAACTAATTAGGAGACTAACTACTGAGCCACTTCTAGGGATCTACGTACCACTGGAGAAACAATGTTCTTCTACCTACTGTATTTTGAAAAATGGACTTACTGAAAGCAGTTAATTTTGTGACAAATGGCAAATCCATTTCTACTGTCAACTCTAACATATTAAACTAATATGTTTAGTTATGTTAGTTTGGTTGGCTTAGGGAACTGAGGGAAATTACTTGAGCACCTGTGTTGTTATGGTCTATTTACAACAATAAAGAAGTTTCTTTGTGGCTTTTCTCTTTAAGCACAAACAGGTTACCCGAGATATTCTACAGCCAAGGAAGGCCCACACTGAACCTTACTCTGATCGAGAATGAAGGCTGCGTTGCTCTGTGCCACTTCATAGCCTTGTTCGGCCAGCAGGAGGTACTGGATCACTGCGGCGTTGTAGTCGCCATCTTTATAGCTATTATAGGCCGTCATAAGCCTCTCGGACCAACGGCCTCGTTCACACACATTCTTAAACAACTGCGAGAATAGGAAAGAAAAAAAAAAAGAACCCGGTAAGAAAATAAGGAACATCTGCCAGAAAATAAGTTCTGCACTTTGGCTACAAGTGACTATTAAGCTACCTTTCTGAATCTCTGGCAGCTTTATTAAACATATACGAAGTCTGCGATATTTATTTGAAGCTTTCAGTTAGTCTTTAGAAGAGCTTTATAAAAATAATCGTGAACAGTTACATACCATTACCCTTGCCAGGCACTGTTCTAGTGCTTTATGTTCAGTATGTACAGAGCTTCTCTTAAGGCTCCCATGAGGTCATGGAGGACACTCTATGAGGTAAGTTCTATTAACTGCCCCATTTTACAACCAAAGAAAATGAAGCACAGAGAGGTTTAGAAACTGTGCCAGGCATTCATCAAATGCCACTCTGAAGTGCCATTTATGAGAGAGCTAAAGAGGAAAAGTTCCCTTTGGGAGACATCAGCATTCCCCTTTGTAACATTCATTCAACACAGATTTTTTGGTGCTGTTTCAGATACTGTCTAGGTGCTAAAGAGACAGCAAACAACACCACCTGTCCTTATAAATGCAGATTCTAGTGGGAAGAGACAAATGAAATGAATAAGCATGATAGTGACATATGACATACAGGCCTTCAGAGTCTTCCCTCAGTGTATCAAAACTAATAGGTTGAGTGTGTTTCTACTCAAGAAGATATCATGCAAAGAAAACCAGAATTAAAATTAATCTGGGAAAATTAATTTCCTGTGTACAAGCTGGTAGGAAAGCCCTTACCTCCACTGCAGTGTGACATGATCGCATCACACCTGTGCCGCTGGCATGCATCTGTGCTAGGTTATAGAAAGCCAAGATATGGCCTCCCTGAGAAGCTAGATTAAAATACTTCAAGGCTTGTTTATAATCCCTCTTGACTCCAATGCCATCTGTAAGGAAAATCACACGAAAGGTCAGAAATAGCCTTAAATAAGATTTACTTGAAGCATCAGAGAAGCCTTACATAATGAGTAAAATGAAATGAAATTGAGAATTCTTAATCAGGAAAGATGTGAATCTTACTAATATAGATTAGCATATTAATACAGATTAACATAATTTATAATGAAAAACAAGATGCACAAAGCATAGAATTAGAAGAATATTAATCAGCCAGAATGTAATAGTTCTCATTTCATGTCATAGTGGCATCTAGTTGAAAATAAATAATTTAGATCTTGGTATATACAGTGTTTAATTCCAACATTACTTACTATAGTACATAGAGCCAAGCTGCAGTTGCCCATCCACCCAGCCTTGTTCAGCAGCTTTCTGGAAATACTTTAGTGCCAGATCATAATTCTGCAGGAAAAGAGGTTACATGATCACATGATGAGAGAGCTCAAAAGGTTGATATACTCAGGAGAGTCATTCATTTAAAAGAGTTAACAAAACACATAGAAGGCATTCTCAATCACTAAAAAGACGATCATAATTTTTTAATAATATATAGATGGTAGTCTAAGTCACAGAGGAATTAATATAGTTAAGACTATAACTATAGTTAAGTAGTTATTTATATAGTTAACTATATAGTTATATGGTCTTAACTGTGAAGAAAAGCAAACAGAGTTTTTGGGAAATAATATGTTCACTGTCAGAAAGGCTACACCACACTAGTGGAACACAAGACCAGGACTTAAGAAAGTTGTATCTTTCCTATAATCAACAAATCTTTTTTGAACCTCAATTTTTCTAACATTAAATAAGGAAAATTATTCTCTTCTTATTCATTCTTTCCCTATGTAGCTTATCAAGCACTATATGATTATTAGACTTCAAATATCATATGTATCCATAGAAAAAAATTAAAACAAAGATCACTACTGAATTTTAGTGTCTTGAAATGACTAGAAGGAATCAAAATAAGAACATACTACTTTCTTCTGAGCTGGTGAACAACTACAGATTAGCAACCTAAACCTAACTCTTTGTTTCAAGCCTGAATCAAAAACATTTTACCTGGAGAGATCATACAGAGAAGAGAAGAGGGCAGCAATGAGAATCTAGGAGCATCCAACATGAGGAAGTAGTACAGAATGAGAAGCAATGGCTTAGGAAAGCCAAGAGAACTTGTAGAATTCCAGGAAAGAAAAAGTTCAAGTGATGTAGAACCAAAAATGTCAACAGGAGTTGACCTTTAGAAGGTTACTGGCGACCAGCATAGAGCAGTTATACAAGGCAAAAGCCTGACTGTTGAGAGATAAAGAATGCGTAGTAGCCACTCATATGGTTCATTCTTTGGAGAAATCTGGCTTTGTAGAGGACTGGAGAGAAGAGAGGTAATAGCTAGAAGGGCAAAGAATAGAACAGAAAGCTTTTCTTCTCCTAAATGCACTTTCTTAGGCTTGAGTGAAGAAGTAGGGAGAGGGGTGTCTGGGTGGCTCAGTAGGTCAAGCATCTGCCTTCAGCTCAGGTCATGATCCCAGGATCCTGAGTCTGCTCAGCAGGCAGTCTGCTTCTCCTCTCCCTCTGCCCCTCCCCACTACTCGGGCTCTCACTTGCTTTCTCTCAAATGAATAAATAAAAAATCTTTTTTTTTTTTTAAAAAAAAAAAAAAAAGAGAAGTAGGGAGGGATAAGTCCTGGAGAAGTGGAAGCATAGGTAGGGTAGAGAACATAGAAGAATGAGAAACAGCTTCATCTCTTTAGAGAAAGTGCCAGAGACAGAGCCATTCAAAGAAAGCAGTTACTATGGTGGGTTCCAGGTGAAGGGTAGTAGGGAGTCAAGCCCAGAGAACAGGAAAAGGTTTAGCTCTAGTTATAAAGGAAGGATTTCATCCAGGCTGGAAGCAAGTTACACTTTCCTACCTCACTAGCTGATTGCTTGTTTAAGTCAGAAGGCTAGCCTCAAAACTTACAACTTGAACTCCTCTCCCGTACAGGTAAGCCATTCCAAGTCCACTCTGTCCGACTGGGTTGCCCTGCAACCAGAGACAAAAGAGTGAAAGGATTCATTAAAAAATAATAATAATAATAAAAATAAAAGGAAAGACTGACTACCAAAGAAATAATTTACAAGCATATTCAAAAAATGTCTTTGTAGTTTTCAATTCAAACTTTTCTTTCCCATCAGGCTAAATGTAATACTGACTTTCAGAGCTTTGGAGGTCTTCAATAATTTGCTGAAAAATAAAATTTACCTAGAATTAAATTTTAGTGACTTTACATTATGACCATCTGTTCCATGAGCTTATGATAGAAAACATGACTAATGTATTTCTTCTTCTTAAAATTAAAAGTAGGTCACTCCTGGGGTAGTTTTTCATTGGTAACCTCCCTCCCTGATAAAGATGGAAGATGCCATGGTGTAAAGTCAACAACCATGTAAGACAGCAATATTGGAATCAGGTGGAAAAGATACACTTAAGATTACTGGAGTGGCACAGAACAAAGACAATCATTGTTTTGAGACCTGAAAGAGAAAAATCTAAAATTCAACCTAAACTCAGAGGGGACGTTTTTTCAAGTCTCACAGCACTCCTTTGGGAAATACTCAACTGACATTTGGAACTAAAGTAGTTGGCAAGGAGATAAGCATACACATTGGAGGCATACAGGTCTTAAATATTCATACATAGTCTTCTCTGGGCCAAAGAAAGCCTGAATTTTATATTTATGATTACTGAAAGTACCCAGTTACATAAGTTTTAAACCTCAAGTTGCAATACAAATGGGGCAAATTATGTAAATCTTAATTGCATTGCTAAAATCAGTATTTCCCCAATGAAGAAACTTCTCAATGAAATTGAAACAGAGGCTTAATATTCAATAATGTGGTTCCCCCGTGCCAAATAAATTGCTTTTTATCAGGAAGGTTTTATTCCTAACCACTCCATTCCCACAAAAATCACATTTACATAAGTGCTTTAAATAATCTGAGGCCATGAGTTGGTTATGACTAATCCTTCTGTATAATAAACCTATTTATTAAAATAATAATAACATGGCACACATTTCAATACACTGAGTCATGAGGTCTTACCATGTCAGCAGCTTTCTTAAAGTAGTGAAGAGCTGTCTCATTGCTCTGCGGTACAATATCACTTCCCTCTGAATACATCTGGAAAACAGAGCCTAATTTTATTAAGAACTATACTCCTTTTGCCTATAATGTATTTCTAGCTCATCTCATTCTGGTTTTTGTTAGGTATCATGAAATTTTTCAACAAAATTTAAAATTCCCTGTAGGATATTTTTGATTTAAAAGCAAAACCTTAAAAGTAACATTATTATATTCTCTTTGTCATAACAAATTTAGGACTTCTCTATAAACATGAATATCGTAAAATCATGTCACAGATCAATCTCAGGAGGAGGAAACCTTTAACTCAAGGTGAATCTTTTCTCTCTATGCCAGGGTAGTCAAATGGTTGATGATCTGCCTGGGGTCACTGATTATACAAGAAAAAGGAGTGCTTTTGGCAATGCCCATGTCCCTTTCTCTTCTATCACTATTTCCCTCAGGGTAAGATACAGGGTAGATCTTAAGTTCAGGAAAATAACTAAAAGGTTATTTTAAAAGGTTTCAAGCACTGATGATCAGAGTACCAGGTACGGAACATGATAAAAGGGCCAAGAGAAAGAAGAACAGAATGACCAAGACTGCTTTCATCCAAATCTACATTAAGAAAACAACAATGGACATCTTTTTTTGAGATAGGGTTAATTAGGAATTCAGAGAAAGAACCAGAAGGGCTAGAATGGAAAGTTCTTAAAGGATTAACAAAAATAAATGGGGAATATACCAATTTCAATGCTATAATCGTTCAGCTGTCTACATATACAGTTCTCAGGCCCGAAATAACTGGTTGTGATTATGTGGCAAATACTAATGAGATTTTTCTATTTCCAAGAATCTTTGTGACAGATTTATTCTATCTGAGCATCCTAACCTTAGGATTTGGTTATGGATGAAAATATCCACTGATTTATACTGTATTTGTCTTCAAAATAATGAAAAAGGAAGCTCTGAGACTGTACCATGTCATATGGAATCTATTTGCTAGGTCTCCAGACTTCAGCGTTTCCCGGCTTAGAAAAGAACTGCATTGACAAGTAGGTGACAGCCATTACACTAAGATAATTAAAGTCTGCAGACAAACGCCAATAAACTCTAGTTGCCTCTATTCAGCATGGAAGAAAACAAGCAATTATGATTGACTTAGCAAAAAACCTGTACAGCATGAAGAATAAATTCCTCATTACTGCATAAAATACACACAAAGTAGGAGCTCAGTGAAAGCTAATTTCAACCATACTGATGAGGAAATGCTGTTTTTCTCATGTTACCTGAGAAAATACCTCAAAATAACACTTATCTTACCACAAGAGACAATTATCCTTGTATTGGAAGTTTTACTTCCAGTTTATTTTTAGTAAACTGTAGATCCTAACTACAACACGTGCTTATTATGCAAACACCTCTTGCTATTGCATAATACATTCACAGGATGTACAGTACCTTTCCCAAGAAGGCCATAGCATGTGAATTGCCAGCATTAGCTGCTAAATTGAAGTAGTCGAATGCTCTCTGTGAGAAAAGAATTAAAATAATTAATTTTTATAGAATCTGCCTTTGGCTTTTCACCAAAACAGTCATTTCAGGAACATTTACAAAATCTTGTAATATTGCAGTATCTCATTTAAATAGCAACATGCTATATATCTCTTGGATGCTTTAGGTATCCACCTCTCTTCAGGCCCATACCAATCCATCACTGGGGTCCTGTAACTTTCATCACCAAATTCCTCTTAAATCTACCTATGATCTTCTACTGCCACAATTCTAGGCTAAGCTACATTATCTCACAACCGAACTTCTGGGACACTCCCCTCCTTGGTCTTCCTGCCTTTAGTCTTTAGTGACCCAAAGCAACAGTTCAAAAAACTTAACATGCTGGTCCTTACAGATCCTTGAAGTTCTTCAGGGGATATAGTGACAGGATCAGACATGGCTTATTTTAGTACCGCTCAGCTTGCTCTCTGCACTCTGGTTCTTCACACCTCAGGACCTACACACATACCACTCTTTTTGGCCTGGAATGATCTTACCTCCACCGTTGACTGAAATGTCACCCATTTCTCCTCAGAGACAACTGCTACCTTCCACTGATTAACCTGTTACTGGACCCTTTCATTCTCCTTAGTAACAACAATCACAATTTATTACATATTTGCTGGTGTGTGATCACTTAAAAAATATATAATATTCTAGTTCTATTAAACTTGAAGCTCTGTAAGGACAAAGAGACCAAAGCTATTTTGTCTAGCATTATATCCTGAATGCCTAGCAGTAAAGAGGCACATAGCAGACACTCAAATTATTGTTGAATCAATGCAGTTATGTACTAGGAACTCCTTTTATTCCTTCTGAGAAGCTGGTGAAAAAATTTGTCCTTGTGTAGGTGTTTCACAAGTAGGCAGCATACACCAAGAATATCCCAAAACTTGTATAAAAGATATGTAGCAAACTCGTCATCCAGAATTGTTCTCTCATCTGACATTTTTATTAACCAGTTCATCTGGCCTAATGAGATATATCTTAATGACCTAAAGACAATTAAAGCAGTCAAAATGCCATCTGAATTAAAAAATATGCATATAGATATTTGGTATAGTTTTTTTTTTTTTTAAGATTTTATTTATTTATTCATGAAAGATACACACAGAGAAAGGCAGAGACACAGGCAGAGGGAGAAGCAGGCTCCATGCAGGGAGCCCGACGTAGGACTCGGTCCCGGGTCTTCAGGATCACACCCTGGGCTGAAAGTGGCACTAAACCGCTGAGCCACCCAGGATGCCCATGTATAATTTTTTTTAAAGATTTTATTTATTTATTTATGAGAGACACACTAAGAGAGGCAGAGACATAGGCAGAGAGAGAAGCACGCTCCCCTCCGGGAGCCCGATGTGGGGCTTGATCCTGGGACCATGGGATCATGCCCTGAGCCAAAGGCAGATGCTCAACCGCTGAGCCACCCAGGCGTCCCGATATTTGGTATAGTTTTAAGTGATAAGTGTATTTTGTTATGATCTAATTCTTAAAGTGGATGGGATATGGAAATGAAATAACCTTAATTAGAATATTTAACTTATAGCACAGTAACAGTTTTATTAGTCTACAAACATTTATCAAGAACTCATTATGTGTCAGGCACTGTCAGGTGCTGGGAATAAAGTGGTAAAGTCCATGCTTTTTTGCAACTTAAGTTCTAAAAGAGAAAAAATAATAATAATTAATTACATAATTAATGAATTTACAATGGGTAAGGGCAGTACAGATTTTCGGAAACTGTAACTGTGGTACGTGACCTATTGGTCCTGGAGTGGAGTTAGGAGTCCAGAGGAACATTTTAGGGGAAGATATACTGGAGTTGAATTCTGGAGGAAGAGTAGGAATTAGCTATGTTAAGAAAGGGGATGGGATAATATTTACTCTAGACAGAAGGACTCGCATTCCAGAAGTCCTGAGATAGGTTCTTCATATTTACAAAGACCTGAAAAAAAGGTCCATGTGCCTGTGAAAGGGTCTGGTGAAGTAAACAGAGACTGGTACAAGATCTTAGAAATCATGTTAAAGGTTTTGGTCTTTAAGCAATTAGAAATCGTGGACCAAGAGCTTGAAGCATGGGAACCATAGGATCAGGTGTGTGGTTTACATAGGCTCCTGCTTAGGAAATGCAAGCAGGAGATGACTCACACAAGTGGTAGGCATACTGATGGAATCAAGGGAAGAGATGAGGGAGATTTAGGGCATAAAGCACGCAAAGGTCAGTGACAAGATAGAGATGTAACTGCTATGGTTGTAATACTTCTAACTTATCACAAACGCAACAATGACTTTTCCTCAGTTCTATGGAATATTTTCCAATGGGAGTTTTAAGACCTATTTCAAACCATATACCTACAGGAAACCAAGACATTGTGTATATATTTTTGGCAATACTGAGAAATAGGTTTCAGAATTTAAAAAACCCTTCCCTCCACCATGAGGTATAATCACATTTTTAGTCTTCAGCTTTCTCAGGGGTCGGATCTTGAAAGATCATTTGTGATGATTGTCTAAATAACACAAACTTGATGCTACCACTGACTAACAAGAACTACATCTAGAGTTTCATTTCTTTCTACAACATGGAGTGCAAAGTCCTGGGAACAAAAAAGTTACCTGATGGTTTTGTTCTACTCCACGACCTCCATGCAGGTGCAGTTGTCCCAGACCAACCTGAAAATTAACAAAAATGAGCAAAAGTAAATGGTACCATCCAGTGTCATTAAGTTAGAACAAGAAATTATTTGGTCATAAAAAGGTTTCTCTTCATAATCCAAAAAAGTGAAGACTTAGTTTAAACTCCTAAAGATATTACTTTAACATTTTTTAAAAACTGAAAATGTTTGCTTTTATTTACAAGGTATAATTCTGAAATAAAGATGAAATAAAGGCAATTTCAGGCAAGCTAAAATTGAATTTGTCACCAATGAACCCACTGAAGAAATTACTAAAGGATGTTCTTTAGGAGGAAGGAAAGTTATCTTGGCAAGTTTGAAGATGCAGTAAGAACTAAAGAACAATGGAAAATTAAATTTCTGAGTAAATCTAAATTATATGGACTATATAAAAGAAGAATATCTTGTGGGATTCAAAAATATATAGAATTAAAACACATACGGAGTACTCTAAAGTTTACATCGTCTAAGAAATGATAAAAGTGATCATTCATACTAGACTTTGATAAGAGTAGTAAACAAAGTCCAGCTATTACCTTAGTAGAAGGGAGGAGGTACAATAGCAGAAATACTAAAACCAAAAGAAGGTAAGAAAGGAGATATAAAAGAGCATGAAAAATCAAAATGAAAGAAAGCAAGCAACATAGAAAATATAAATATATCATTCATTACTTTTAATTAAAAGCGTGTCAGAAAGGATAAAAAAATAAAAGTAGGCCAATAATGCTCCCAAGAGACATATCTTAAACATAAGAGGTTGAATACAAAAGATGGAAAAGACAGTCTATGTAAATACTAACCAAAAGAAAGTGGAGAGTGGAGTAGCTAGCTAGTATCGGGCAAAATACAATTTAAAGCAAAAAACATTTCTGGAGATAAAAGAGGATGTTTCGTGGGTCACCTGGTAGCTCAGTGGCTGAGCGTCTGCCTTTTGCTCAGGGTGTGATCCCAGGTTCCTCGGATTAAGTCTTGCATGGGGTTCCCTGCAGGGAGACTCCTTCTCTCTCTGCCTCTCTGTGTCTCTATGAATAAATAAATAAAATCTTTCTTTTAAAAGATTTTATTTATTCATGAGAGAGAGAGAAAGGCGGGGAGGGGGGCAGAGACACAGGTAGAGGGAGAAGCAGGCTCCATGCAGGGATCCTGACGTGGGACTCGATCCCAGGTCTCTAGGACCACGCCCTGGGCTGAATGCAGCGCTAAACCACTGAGCCACCGGGGCTGCCCAATAAATAAACTCTTAAAAAAAAAAAAGTTTCATGATATGCAAGTTAAACAAAAAGATAACAATATTAAGTCTATATACATTCCACATGGCCTAAAAATACATAAATCAAAATTGAGAGAAATACAAGAAGATAGAGACAAAGTCACACCCCAGTGGGCAATTTAAACAATACTGTCTCAGCACTGGAAAGAAAAAGCAAACTCAGTAAGGATCCACAAGATTTAAGCAACAGGATTAAAAAACATAACTCAATTGACACATTAAGAATACTATACCCAACAACTGAAAAATTTGTATTCTCTTTAGCACACAATATTTGGCCAAACTGACCAAGTGATGGATCATAAAGCTAGTCTCAGGAAATCCCAAACAAATGAAATCATATAATGCATATTCTTATATTCTTTTTTTTTCAAATTTAGATTTATTTATTTGAAAGAGGAGAAAGAGAGAGATTGTGTGAGTGAGCCCGTTGGGGGGGTGGGCAGGGGGAGAGAGAACCTTAAGCAAACCGTGTACTGAGTGTGAAGCCTGACATAGAGCTAGATCTCACAATCTGAGCCGAAACCAAGGACTGGATGCTTAACCGATTATGCCACCCAGGCACCCATACAGAGCATATTCTGAACACAGTGGATTAAGCTAGATATCAACATAAAGGGTAAGTAGTAAATTCCATTTATTTGAATACTAATCAATTCACTTCTAAAATTACACATGGGTCAGAAGAAATCACACTGAAAATTAGAGCTAAATATAATGAAACTATGACAGCAGAACATATTCTATAACATATCAAGAACTATAAAGTTATAGAAGTTCCAGATAGTACTGATGCACAAGACATGCAAGAGAATATGCACAGATCATTATTTGGAATAGCCTAAATCTGGGAAGAGTAAAATAGGTAAATAAGTTGTGGGATTTTTACACAATGAAATACTATAGGGTAATGTATGTGAATGAATTTCAGCTACATGAAAACACATGGGCTGATTTCATAAACATAATGCTGAGCAAAAGAAGCTGATATCAAAAAATGCTGTATAATTTTTTAAAAAAGATTTTATTTATTCATGAGAATAAATTTTTTATTTATTTTATTTATTCATGAGAGACACAGAGAGAAAGGCAGAGACATAGAGGGAGAAGCAGGCTCCTTACAGAGAGCCTGATGTGGGACTTGATCCCCAGACATGGGATCATGACCTGAGCCAAAGGCAGACGCTCAACCGCTGAGCCACCTAGGCATCCCTGATTTTTTTTTTTTTTTAACATAAAATTCAAAACCAGGCCAAACCAATCCATAGTATTAGAAGTCAGCTTAGTGGGCAACCCATGGGGAGGAGGGGGCTTCTTGGACGCTAGTTATGCTTCACAGAAGGTTCATCTGGTGATAATTCAGGGGGCTGTATGCTTCAGATTTATGTACTTTTTTGTATTAAGGTTGTAATTCGAGTAGTGAAAAGAACAAAATGATATACTATACCACAGATGGAGTTTTTAGTTTGAGTTTTCCACCAAATACACTGAAGTCAGCTTTCCACAGTAAGTAGTGTTCTACATAATTTTTGATGGTTGCATAAAATTCCACTACATGGAAGTGCTACAGTTGAGGTAAATCCCTATTTTGGGGCATTTAGATGGTTTTCAATTTTAACTGGCCTTTGATATAAAAGGAAGATGTTTAATTAGATAACTTTATTATAATTTCCACGAACTAGGATTTGGATCTTTCGCTATAATTTTTTTTTTAAATCTAAGATTCCTTTCTGTTAAGTCTTAAAATCAATTGTTCTCAAAAAAGTATCTAATGCTTATCTTTCTATATTTCTATATCAGAAAAGATCCGTAACTGCATAGAAAAAAATGTAAATGTTGAAGTCCTCCTTTTTATTTCAAGATCAGCAAATAACCCATGAAATAACAAATTATACACGGTACTTTCATGGATATACTATACAATTTACATTAATCAAGGCTTTTTCTGTCCTTGACACCTTGAGGAAATTATGGTCTAAGATGAGCAAAGGAACATGAACAGTAAATGGCACTGATGGGCATCTGAAATTCCAAATATTCCAGAGACTTTTTGTTGAAAGTGACAGTTTTCATCATTGGTGACTCCAGTAAGAGCCTTCATCATCAGTAGTACACTGCTCTGTTTAAGCAGCAGTTTTCAACTGTGGTGCAATCACCTGGCCAGCTTCTATGAACTCAAGGCCTAGGCTACATCCTAGATGAATCCAAATAGAAATGTCCTGATATTATGGGACTCTTGGTACTTTTAGGAAAATGCTACTCAGGTGATTCTAATACGCAATTAATAATGGCTCAGAGCAATGGAAATGTTTCTTATGGACATAAGTGCAAGTGCTTGCCCCAAGACTAATATATAATGCAGTGAGACATGCCATGAGATGTTTAAACACATACCTGTGCTTGTACATCACCTTTTTCCGCTAGAAACTGATAGTATTGAATCAAATCTTCTTCCAGCATTCCACTATTCATTCCTGGATTTTCCACCTCATCAGGCAGCCGTATTCTCTGTACTACTGAGCCTCCTGTCAGCGAGATATCACTAGCAACTGAAACAGGGGGATGAAGTAGTAACACAGAGGAAGGTAAGAAGGAAGTAGAATTTCAGCTGCCAAATGTTGATAGACACTACGCTAATAGAAATTATAGATTACAAAATAGTAATCTATACAAGCCCAGTCTTTTCTACAAAATATTTAAGAAGTGAAATCCAAAGTGCACATGCACGGGTGTGCGTGTACACACACACACACAAAGGAGTTCTTAGTCAATTAGTGTAAAGATCATTCCACTTAAGAGAGTTCGTCATGATTATTTCGTAGTACAACGACAACAGACGTATTTAAAGTTAATTCCATTTTGTTTTTTGTTTCTTTTGATAAAATGAAAGGCAAAATAAATAGATACCATGATTGGCAACAAGACGATAATGAGTCAGGGCCGATTCACAACTCTGGAGGACTCCGATGCCAGCCCAGTACCGGTAACCCTGTGAGACAAGCTCTAGTGAGAAGACTGCAGGTTCACACATTCCACTGGCATTCTTGTTGGAAGGAATAAAGCCACCTGCACTCAGAATGTAATTCCACAGTTCCTTGATCCCAGTACATTACCACTTCTTTTATCCTGAGTTTTAGGTTCTGAGGTAACTTATTTAACTCCAAAAATCAGACTTTAGCTAAGAACTAGGAAATAATGATGTTCCCACAGAAATCAAAATAGATGCTAGGAATTTTATGGGTGAAGTAAGAGAAAATTACTTAGGTTCTTGCTTAGACTACATTCTAATCTTATTTTAGACATGATTTTAACAAATATGGGTAACCCATCAAACCAGCAAAGCAGCAAAAACTTAGCAAAACAAGGAAGATGAGAAACTACTAGGAGCAGACATAGTAACATGAGCAAAAAATGATTTCAGAATGATGGGGAAGATAGCTAACTATAAAGAATAGAAAACAAAAAGTGGACCTCTTGAGTCATTTAGCTTTATAAATTTTAACAATCCTTAGGGCACTACTGTGTAATAATGTGTATAATATTTAATGTTCATATTCTGTAGCCACTATTTAAGAGAATTGGTAAATTAAAAAAAAATCCCGGTAAAAAATATAGAACATACTTTTGCCATATAAAAATATGCTTTAAACTTCTGGAAAATTCATCTAAAAAGAACTTTTCAATTATTAATTGAGGAATAAATGCTACCACAGATGAAAAAAATAAAAAAAACCCTTCAAAATTAATGAGGAATGTTTCAGAAAGTTAGAGCAACATCTTTGTTTTTCACTGGCTTAAACTACTTTAGCAGTTCATGTCTGACATAGATGGGGTCCAAGCTCCTTGGCATGATGTACAGCCCATTTACGTGATTCCTGATGAATTTCCTGGCATTCTACTCTCTCACCACACTAAACAGCTTGTATTTTCTTGCAGGTACTATATTCCTTCATCATTGTCCCTCTGTATGTATTGCTCCTGCTGTCTGAATGCCCATCCACTCGTATTCACTCCCTGCTCTTTATCCTTCAAGAACTGCTTTAGTTCCCTCAGAAGTATCTCCTTTAAACTCTCCTTCTAACACCAATATGGGTTAAGTGCCTTTCTAAGTAATTCCTATACTGTAATGATCTCCTGACTTGTGTAAATTTAAATGTTAATCAATTTTCAATGTAAAATCAATTTAAATGTAAAATCTGTTGATAACTCAGATGTAGAAATGATTTTGACAAACAATTCCAACTTAAAGAAAATAAATGAGCCATTTATCACATCTCTATTTTAAGGGTAATCAGTCAAATACATCATTTTATTTATTTTTTAAAGATTTTTATTTATTTATTTATTCATGAGAGATACACAGAGAGAGGCAGAGACATAGGCAGAGAGAGAAGCAGGCTCCGTGCAGGGACCCTGATGTGGGACTTGATCCCAGGACTTTAGGATCATGCCCTGAGCTGAAGGCAGAAGCTCAACCACTGAGCCACCCAGGCATCCCTCAAATACATCATTTTAAAGAAAAATTGTGGAGTGTACAAATTTTCATCCGCATGTAGATCCAAGTGTTATACCCATTAACAAGAATCTGAAGAATGTTCAACTGAATACTAGATCTTAAGGAATATAAGTACACCTCCTTCATGAAAGCTAGAAAAGTTGTGGCCCTTCATGAACCAAAAATTCTGCCACTCAACGTTACCAAAGTCTTACTTACCAAAACCATGTGTGCAATGAGGTTGCCCCCAAGAGCTCCAAAAGTATAATATACTAGGGCCTGTGAAAGAACAAAATATACTTAACTGAACACAGGAAGACACTGACCCAGTTCAAATGGTAGTATACAATAAAGTTTTAATAATATTACCTTTGCCTGACTTGAATTAACACCAAGTCCAGAGGCATACAGAAAGCCAAGAGCCTGAAATAAAATGATAAAAGTAAGAATTCTTCCCTAGTGGAGGTTTATCCAGCACAGACATAGTTTTATGAATGAAGAAAAGATTCAAGAATCTTTAGCTACTGAAAGACTTGAACTAAGTATGCACAAATGTGGAATTAAAGAACCTTAGAAAAGCATTCAAGAAAAAAAAAAAGAAAAGCATTCAAGGTTTTACAAATGACACAATAAAATACAACTTTAAATAAATCAAAAAGTTTAGCTTGAAGATTAAAGATAGTTTAATAAAATATTAACTAGAACAACAAAGCTGAACACACTGAAATATGGCTTTAACTTTTTTTTTTTTGGCTTTTACTTTATCTTGATCAACAGCTATTATGAGAACCAAACAAACCCTTTATCATTATATCAACACATGACCTGTCAAAGGAGAAGACACAATGCTAAGATAGACATCCTAGAATAACAAGTGGCGGCAAAGGTGACCTCAAAAGGGTCAACAGAGAAAAGTCACTTGATAATACGGAAGCACACCCAATTTTGCATTACAATCCGCGCCCCGCCCAAATAAAAGAACTCCAACCAACCAAACTGAATCGATAAGGTTCAACCCTTTGCCTGTTGAGGATGGCCCTTGATGACAGGAAAGCATAAGCTGAAGTCAGAAAGGCAGGTGTGGCACGTGCCAGCATTCATCAAAATCTATAAGCTCCCCTACATTTCCCAGTACCTTGTCCTTGGGTAGGGCCATGTGTCGAGGATGTGGCAAAGAGAAATGCAAGCTATTTTTAGGCCTGGCCATTAAAAACTTTCCAGAAATGCTCCAGCCCTCACTTCTCTCTTCCCAAAGGCTTGAAAGTCCCAGGTTTGAAATAGTGCAGTTATATGACAGGAGCAGCCTTGGGCTGAGTCACCATTGGGAAGAGTGCCACAGGCAGAGGAACTGCATCAACCCTGGTATGAACAAGTAATAACTTCTTTGTAGTGTTGAGCCACTGTGACTTTGGGGCTGTGTCTGTTACATCAGCTAGAAGTAATTACCATGGAGAGAGTGCTTGCAATATGCAATATAAAGCACCGGCATTGTAGGGTGCTATTACTAGAGGGAAAAGATGCTTAAGAAGTACCACCATTCTTTAGAGCCAAATGTGTCTACAGAATAAAGAATGTATATGTGAATTTGTATAAATTGACTTATACTGAAAAGGGAAAAAAACTCTGCAAAGGGGGCAATTAAGATATAACCTGTTTATAAATTAAACCAAGACTGTGTTAAGAGTTAGACTGGTTAGGTATTCAGACCTACAGAAAACAATGGTTACAATTCCTATAGTACTGTTTAAATAGTCTGAAAACAGCCTTCCTCTAACTATGACTAGAAATTTTATATTTAAGCAAAATCCACACCTTCAATAAACCTGAATTACTGAGAGCATTTAAAATAAATGTGGTGGCCCTCTAAACCCAGGTGTCAATCTTACTATTACCAATGTGGAATCAAGCAGATATTATTTATCAACTGGTGTGATGTGATATGGAATGCATAAGGCAGTCTAGACCAAAAATACTTGACTTGAGTTCATTAGTTTTTAGCTGTGATATCATCTATAGGAAGTATAGATACCAAACAAGTACCAAACAAAAGGACAAAAGGAAGAAGCAAACAGGCAAACTGAAGTCAGACATTCTGCAGAAAAACTGGCCCTCTCTCTAACACAGACAAGAAAGAAAGAAAGGCAGGGACTATGCTAGCAATAATAACCAAACAGAATGTCTAGTCCTGGATTGAATACTGCTTTGGATGAAACAGGTATAAAGGAAATGTTTTGGTTCAATGCCCTATGAAGGCATTATATGGGTATTCCATTTACTGGGATGGAATGGTGAGGGCTATTCATCGAAAAAGCAAGTAATGGAATAGCAGACAGGGACATCTTATTTTAATAAAAAATTTACATGTATAAAAACACAAAGAGAAAGGTCAAGAAAGATGTGCATGCATTACCATGTAACCAATGTTCAGGTCTGGGTGGTATAGATATGATATTTTCTTTCTTAGTTTTTTTTTTTTTTTTTTAGTTTCCTGTAATGAACATGTACTACTTATGTAATAAAAAATATATATATATTATATATATAAAAATAAATAAATAAATAAATAAATAAATATATATATATATATATATATATTTAATACCAAGATTACCAAAAGCTGGAGCATCTGAACTTTGGAAGAAAGGCAACGGGGAGTGAGTTCAGATAAAATTATAATTACCTTTATGTTTCATTCTTTACGGACTGAATTTGGAAAACTACAAATATAACTGTGGTAAGATACAGCTGCAAAAGTGCCTTAGGTGACCACAGTGTTCTCACACCGAGGAAGAAGACTGTCCAAGATCGATTAAATGGTCTGCCACAGAATTAGTATTTAAAGGTATTTTACCTTCTAGTCTTACTTATTAAGGGAAGGCAGAGCATAAAGAGTAAGCTGCTATGAAAATAAACAAGTACTGTATGCCAAGAGATTCTGCTGTGAAAGTACACTTACAGTTTGTCCCTTAGGAGAGCCTTCCTCAGTCAGTTTCTCAAACATCTCCTTGGCTGCCTGGATATTCTGTGTCAGGTAATCACCAAACAAAAGAGCATATGACACTCTCTCCAGGGCCTTGGTATGATTCATGCCCGCCGCCTTTTGAAGATACCGATATGCTCTTTAAACATAAGCAATTAAAAAAAAAACAAATTAGAAATATTTGGGGACTGCTATTAACATTTTTAAAGAATCTGGGGCACCTGGCTGGCTCAGGCTCAGTTGGAAGAGTATGGGATTCTTGATCTTGAGGTCATGAGTTGGAATGGCACGCTGGGTGTAGAGATTACTTAAATTAAAAAACAAAAAACAAAAAAAACAAAAAACAAACAAAAAACAAAAAAACACTTTTTTAAAAATTTAACTTAAATTGAAAAAGACTTTTTTAAATTAAAAATTTTTTAACAAAATCTATTAAAACACGGAATAAACAATTCCTCATTCTATAGAATCCCTGTGATATTTGATTTCCATTAACTTGTGTTACTTATGATATGTAGAAAACATTCTGGGCTACTTTTGTTTTTACATAGGGTACCAGCTCTGTTATTTCAATATTTTAGAATAGTCTAAAGAATTATAATACTGTGGTATCCAGTACATAATCCAATGATAAACACTGCAATTTCCTTTTAAAATCGTTGTACAGACTATAACAAGAGTCAGCTGAAATTAAGGACATAAAATGTTAAAAGACAGACAACTTATTTTATATTCTTTCCAAATTCCTAAATTCTAGTGTTTGTCTGCAAGACAATTACAAAGTAAAAATAAAAATAAAAAAAAAAACAAAAACAGAAAAAACACCTGACAACAATTCCTTTTGTTCTATGTCATTTTGAATTCTGAAGAGTATACATATTCTTGTCTCTTAGAAACTATTACAGCTTTAATTATTTCCATTTTGCTTATTGTTCATTCTGGTGATGAATATAATCTTTTTAGCCCATTGAGCTGAAATCTGATAAAAGTAATGCCCTAATGTCCATAGGTCATATTAGGTCTTCTGAAATTACAAACTAAGAGAAATCCTCTGTCTTTGGCAGTGCATTAAAACAAGTACTTCGCACTTTTTTTTATCTGAGTAGTGGCCTATGTCAGAAGCAGAATGGACGGACCAGTGCTACCTACTCTCTTTTTTGGCTTTTCTTGTTGCTTCCGTTGAGGATTTTCATTCCTGTCTGGTACATCATTTCCGCTTCCTGCATTTGCCGCCGTTTAGCAGCCTCTTCTTCAGCTAAAAACAAAAAGTCAGATGCTTTTAAATGGAGTTTAATCTTATACCAATTATTTGTCAAAACTCAGTATATATTCTTTCTTCTGGTGAAAGATACCAGATACTGATACCAACACAATGATTTTTCATTATTTCTCAGTCTGATTTTTATTTTTATGGTTTTAAAAGATTTTATTTCTTCATAAGAGACACCCAGAGAGAGGCAGAGACACAGGCAGGGGGGAGAAGCAGGCTCCATGCAGGGAGCCCGACTTGGGAATCGATCCCAGGTCTCCAGGATCACGCCCTGGGCTGAAGGCGGTGCTAAACCACTGAGCCATCCAGGGATCCCCCCAATGATTTTAAGGACATTTGCTTTTATGTGTGGCCTTTATCTGACTAAAGTTAAGACTTAAAAAAAAACTAAATAAAACTCATTAAAACAACTTTCTTTTAAGAAAGGGGGTATCAACCTATTTTTCGGAAGTTGCTTTTCTGCTAGTAACTCTAAACTTTTCATCTAAGTCAACCAAAATTCCAGCAGAGCCTTCTGATTATATAGCAATGTGAGCTAAAATTGAAGGACCATTGTAGTCAAAGGACACTTTAGCCTCACCTGAAAGGCGCCATCTTTACAAGAAGGAAATACTTGATTTATTACCTAACAGAAAATTAGTTGAAAAAAATGATTTTTATTAAATATAGAACTTGATTTAATATTCAAGTTCTCTTTTTTTCCTAAGTACTGATACGACACAGAAAATCATAGCATTGGTATAGATTTCCCCTATATTATTTTGCTACTGTAATAAAGCATTTTAACAGATGTCTAAAACTCTTCAAGAGACATTTGAGGGCAGCCCTGGTGGCTCAGCGGTTTAGCACCACCTTCAGCCCAGGGTGTGATCCTGGAGACCCAGATCGAGTCCCACATCGGGCTCCCTGCATGGAGCCTGCTTCTCCCTCTGCCTATGTCTCTGCCTCTATCTCTCTCTCTGTGTCTCTCGTGAATAAATAAATAAAATCTTAAAAAAAAAACCAAAAACAAAACAAGAGACATTTGAATATTTTGTTAGGAGTTTTATAGAAATAGAAGTGACTTCTTCTTGTAATAGAAAAGCAAAATTTGGTATATTAAACAAGAATACCTAATCGTACCGGCCCACATCCAAAGATGGACTATATTTGATGCTATTCTAAGGAATGCCTAAATATTCTATCAGAGCTATTATTTTGAAAATGTTATCTGGAATCAAAAGAGGTATGTTCAAAGTTTTCTGTTGTTCTTTAATAGTTAGAAAGTTGGGCAGCCCAGGTGGCTCAGTGGTTTAGTGCCACCTTCAGCCCAGGGCCTGATCCTGGGGTCCTGGGATCGAGTCCTACGTCAGGCTCCCTGTATGGAGCCTCCTTCTCCCCCTGCCTGTGTCTCTGCCTTTCCCTGTGTGTGTGTGTGTGTATGTGTGTCTCTCATGAGTGAATAAATAAAATCTTAAAAAAAAAATTAAGTTTTTCCCAAAAACTCAGCTTGCCTTTAGAGGCAATACTAACATTTAGGGCAGTGAAATATACTATATCCATCAAATTATCTTATAAATATACTATATCTGTCAAATTACCTTAGCACAGCACATTGACTCAAAGTATTTAAAAAAAGGTATTATCTATTTTTCATCTATGCACTATTAATTAACCTTTAGCATAATGTTCTGTTTTTCCTTATTGCCAAAAAATGTTTTACATTGATTAATTTAGCAGCCTGCCTGAGGGTTTCCAGAACAACGTATGCACACCAAAAGAAAATCATCTCTAAATAAAACATGAATGTGATAAGCTGCCCAAGTGACAGCCTGGGAGGGAGTACACTGCATGCTTCCTGTTCTTAAGTACATTCTGTAAGACTATAACTCTGTCGATGCTGACCATTTTTGATGAAGGTGGGGAAAGGATGGCTAGGAAAAGGCTTAAAATTGTATGAGACATAAAGCAATGTGGACACGCCTCCTACTGAGCAATACTTACTTTCACAAAAGCCCCACTTTTCATCTGCCTTGTAGTCATAGGTTGTAGCACACCACAATCTGCCATCTTCCCTCCCATCTGATGTACATTCGTCATATTCCTTATCCAGAAACAGAAAAGGGAAGTGGCAGGGCTCCCCATGTGCTGTGCCTTCAATGGCGGTCAGAGCTGAAAAGATAAGAAAAAACTCTAAACATGAATAGCACCTCTGGTATCTATGGATTTAATACTGTGAATTTCAATCATTAGATTTCGAAGACAAAACTACATGATTTGAAATGGGGAACATGAAAGGGTCAGCATCAATTTTCTTTAGGATGACTTAAGAGCGGGTCAACTTAGTGAACATGGCTGGCTTCATGTACATGACAGCTTTGTATCCAGCTTTAGAATTTCTGAAGGTCTTGAGATCTGATAACCTTATAATGTTAGAAGTCTACTATAAACTCTTGACTAACTAGCAAGCAAAATATAAGGCAAATGCCACCGAATCAACTCCACTGCTCAGCACAAATCCCCCTTTTTCTATCTGAATGTAATAAGTCAGTTTCTTTAATAGTAAAAAGTCATTCAGGGAAAATGCTCCCCCAGATAAAGTTCATCATTCATGTACGCCTCTGTGATCCCACAGCATTTTTTCAGAGCACTTACCATATCTGAGGTTCTTTTTTTTTTACCATACACTTGCTCTCACAACACCCTGAGCTTCTTAAAAGTAGAGATCATATCTCTAATCTGTTCTTAAGCTCTGAGTATCTTTTGGGCACTGGGAATTGTGTCAGGTGCTGGAAATGAGGTGGAGCACAGGTCTCTGCTCTACACAACTTAGTGCCTAGCAAGGAAGAGAGACATTAAACAAAAATGTGACTCGTGTTCCGGAAAGGAAAGCCTCCCCTGTCAGGAACTGAGGTTTATCACTGGACTTCACAGATAGGTAGGAGCAGAGGGTGAATGAACTGCTTCAGGGTGGCGTGGCAGAGGTACCATAAACAGAGGGAATTATGTGCGCTAAGAAGCAAATGAATGACAGCATGGTACTTTAGAAAACATACAAAAAGTTCAGCATGTTAGAACATGCAGTGTGCAGGCCCAAGTGCACAGGTTACACTTAGAGCAGCACAAAGAAGCTAGACTAAAAAGATTCTGATAAATCTAATTAGGGAGTTTGGGCTTTATCTTGAGAACACTGGAAACTCACTTAAGAGTTTTAAACAGGAGTGACATGCTCATACTTCCACTTTTATTAAGAGAGGGGACAATGGACTGGAGAAAAGCAAGGCTAGGTGCAAAGGCGACCAGTTTAAAAGTTGTGAGACTAGTCTAATCGAGAGGTCATGGTAGCCTGAAGAGGACGATGGAATGAAAGAAGTGGATGTACTCAAGTGATGCTAAGGAAGTAGATACAGCCCCACTTACTGACTAGATGTGCAGGTGAGAGGGGAGGAGTATAGAAGCCTCCCAGGTATTAGGCTTCAGGAAGTGAGGGGATGGCTGTCCTCACTAGGAGAACACTAAAGAAAGAGTAGGTTACTGGGTACGGATGAAATGGATCAGGGCAGAGACAAGTGAAGCTTTGATCCTGCTACATTCAAAGTGGCTACAAAAAACATAGCCAAAAAACAAGACTCTTAGACATCTTTTTAGCTGTAGTCAAAGAGAAATGTCTCTGGTTCATAGACTGGAAGCCAAGAGTAAGCTTGAGAGCGCCAAGTGAGTAGTTCATGAGAAAACCAGAGGGCCAGGGTTGAGCCCAGAACCATAAACAGGTGTGAGTATACATCAACTTCCAAGGGTTGCTTTTACATGGAGAATTTAATTAGGCATCATCACTTAGTGATTAAGAGCATAGCTCTGGATTCAGAACGCCTGATTCAAACCCTACCACTTATTAGCTGTACACTTTGAGCAAAGTAGTTAATTGCTCCTTTTTTTTTTTTTAAAGGATTTTATTTATGTATTCATGAGAGACACTGAGAGAAAGGCAGAGACCTAGGCAGAGGGAGAAGCAGGCTCTCCATAGAGAGCCTGATGCGGGACTCAATCCCAGGACTCTGGGACCACACCCTGAGCCAAGGGCAGATGCTCAACCACTGAGCTACCAAGGCATACCTTAACCTCTCCTACCTCTCCTCTTATCTATAAAATCATTTGCAGATAACTTATCTACCAATAGGGGTAACAATCCTTGCCGCGTAGTTACTCATAAAGATGCACGTAAATAATGTATATAAAGGACCCATCATGGTGCCTACCACTTAAGGTAATAAGTGTTTAAGAGATGGTACTGTTACTATCACAGGTTCTCCAGCTCTGAAAGGCTAGGAAATGGATGCTCTTTCTCGCCACTGCAAAGAAGAATTCATACTAAGATACATTATGAAAGCTATTTTCAGTAAGTTATGAAACGGTTTACCACCAGATAAGTGTCATTCACCATCCTGGTAATCACTAACCAGAGGCAAATACTTTGATCTGTGTTTATAAGAAATGATCTTTAGTACAATTTATAAGCAAAGTACCCTTTAGCAATGACCTCAGAGGGGTCATTTTAAGTACAGAGTTTGAAAAAAGGCACTCCTATGGACTGCTATTAGATTCAAATTTGCTTGAAAAAAAATAGTACCTGTAAAATAGCAATTTGTAAATCTGAATTTCAAATTAAAATAATATAATAGTTTAAAAATATTTGATTTTTTTCTATAATAGACATTTTTGTTTTAAAAACAAATAGCTTGCCATAAGATCCTAGTTTGCCAAAGTGTCCTAAGTGATGCAAGTATATGCAAGAATTCTTTCATGTGATAGAAGTATACACCAGAAGAAACTGGAAAGAGCCCAAAGGTTTTTGGCAACAAAAGGTTTTAACCTACTGCTGATTCAGCACTAACTAACTTAAGTAAAAAGAATCCCTTTTTATGGGTGCATGTGCTTCACGATTTAGAGTGAAACTTGGTCTAAATAATGTGTTTATTAGTATGTAATCAGAAAGAAAACTTGTATCTCTCAGTTACCTTCTCTAAGCAAAATCACAACCCAGAAGTTGCTACTACCTTTTAAACTTGTTTTAAATTCTTCTCAAAGTTACTGACTGGGACTTGCAAGTTCCAAGTCAATTATCTCAAGTCCTCACAATAGTGTTAATTTCAGTTAATTTTCTTTCCATGGAGAGATTCTGCAAGAATTTCAAAGCTATCATTTTAAAAACCGCCACAAAAATAGTACTAGTTTTAAAAACAATGGTAATTACTGCTCTGGCACAATGAAGCTGACTGATTATGCAATTTAAGTTAATGACAGCCAGTAGTCAAACCTGACTCTAAAAATGAAAGGGGGAAAAATCTGTCATTAAGCCAATTTTGCACCTTCCTGTAAAAAAGATCACAGTTCTAGATAAGGAATCATGTTTTGACTCTATAATAATGACACAGTACCACAATCCATTTAAACCTTGACAGTAAGATTTTTATAACTTTTTTTTAAAAGATTTTATTTATTCATGAGAGACAGAGACAGAGACAGAGACAGAGAGAGAGAGAGAGAGAGAGAGGCAGAGACATAGGCAGAGAGAGAAGCAGGCTCCATGCTGGGAGCCTGATGTGGGATTCTATCCCAGGACTCCAGGATCACACCCTGAGCCAAAGGCAGATGCTTACCCGCTGAGCCATCCAGACATCCCCCCCCCTTTTATTTTTAAAAATTTTGTATTTATTTTTGTTTATATTTTAAAAATCGCTCTTGCAAAGCCAGTTAAAAAAAAAAAATCAAGGGATCCCTGAGTGGCTCAGTGGTTTAGCATCTGCCTTCAGCCCAGGGCGTGATCCTGGAGTCCCGGGATCGAGTCCTTCATCGGGCTCCCGGCATGGAGCCTGCTTCTCCCTCTGACTGTGTCTCTGCCTCTCTCTCTCAGTCTTTGTCTCTCATGAATAAATAAATAAAATATTAAAAAAAAAATCATTCAGGAAAAGTTAAAAAAAAAAAAAAGACGAAAACCCAAACAATAATCCTAAACCTGAAGTCATTCAGTGTTGCCAGGGTACAGGTTAATGGGGACTTTCATACTGCTGGTAGGAGTGTATCAATCAGTACAACCTCTTAAAAAGGGACTTTTAGGAATACCTATTAGAATTTATACAGTCCATACTTTGGATCACATTTTTCTACTTCTAGGATGTTTACTTGTAGAAATGCTCCCATAAGGATACAAAGAGATGTGTGTAAGAATGTATTTGTGTATAAAGATACAAAACCAAGAACTCAAAAGTCTAACAATAGGAGATTGATTAAATCAGCTTTAGTGCAGCCATTACCTAAAAACCTGGCATAGACAGGAGCAGAGGATCAAAGGCTGGGTGTCAGGGTAACCTTGTATTTCAAGATCAGATAGATTCCAGAAAACCAACAGGTAAGTGATGAGAGCATCTTCAGAGTAGGAAAAAAATGTGAGGTGTAAGATGAGGACCAAGAACTGGCCAAGTATCCAGCAATGAAAATTATGACTGGCATCAAGTGGATTTACAGGTCTTGAGGGGACCTGAGCATCATGGGAGTCAGATAACAGAATGAGAAGAGAGGAAGTGAAATCAGTGAATACAGACAAATCTTTCAAAGAATGATGCTATAAAGGGGAGTAAGGTGGTTACTGGAAGGGGTTCTGGTTTTTAAAATATAAACTATTACAGCATATCTGAACGCTGATGGAAGGAATCCCAAGAGAGAGGAAGCAATGCAACAGTGGTTAGAATGTTGCTATATGAACTGAGTTAAATGTCCTGGGAATAGACACTATCTTTTCCTCATTTCTAATGGTAAGATCAAAACAAAACCCAAAAATATCAACTTCTTGATCCATAAAAACAAAGGTAAGGGATTTAGCTTTGCAATTTTCTCTCATCTTGGGGGGATTTACACAGCCAATAAAGACTGATATTGTATCTGTAAGTTCATATGAATGGTCTGTTAATAAGAAAACTACTTAATCATGCTGCTTGTTTGAAGCAATTTTGTACTTCCAAACATAAAAGGTAAGTAGCATTATTTAAATTTTAATTTTTTAAAAAGATTTATTTATTTATTTATTCATTCATTCATTCAGGAGACACACACACACACACACACACACACACACACACACACACACAGAGGCAGACAGACTGACACAGGCAGAGGGA